TTAGAATAAAGGATATAAACACAGTTAACCCTCTTGATACACTTAGCCAAATTGCTTTCTAGAAAGGTTGTGCCAACTTCTGCCAGCAGGTGTGAAAGTTCCTGTTTCAACATACCCTTTCTAGCCCTGCTTATTTACTTTTTTTCCTAAATATCTCTTATATTTTGTTTGTAACATTTTCCTATATGTAAAAGTTAGTTAGATAGGAGCCAATTGGCAGGGTAGGTTTCATTTTGGACTCTTGCCTTTATAAGTCTGTTCTGTTATTCTGGGATCAGTCTGCTGAATAACATGCTATGCAACAAACATAAAGTAGCCTGGATTCTGGTCAGGCTACTACAGTATTCAACATCTGGATTGAAAATACAGCCGTGATCACCTGAATGACCAGTTTGTATAGGCCATTTGTTGCTAGTGTCTTTCCAGTGGTAAAACAGAAGTTCTGTAGTCCATCTGCCTTTCTTGAGAGCCATGATAAAGATTTCTAAGGCTTGATGTGTAGTATCCTTTTCTTACATGTCTTAGTCTGTTATATGCTGCTATAACAGAATACCTGAGACTGGATAGTTTATAAAGAACAAATTTATTTCTCATAGTTCTGGAGTTTGGGGAGTCCAAGATCAAGGCACCAGGCATTTGGCCTGGTGAGGGCCAAGGAGCTAAAGAGCAAGCTAGCCAAATGCTATGTGAAGCATTTTTTTATAAAGGCATTAATCCCTTAACAGGGAAGGAGCCCTCATGGCCTAATCCCCTCCTAAAGACTCTGCCTCTTAATATTAATACCATCACATTGGCAATACCTGCATTCTGGAGAATACTCATTCAAATCATCATATAAAGTTATTGGAGAGGAATAAGAGGCTCTCTTTCTTTGGTGATCTGTTTAAAGAGTAGATGTGGGGGTTTGATTTTTTTTTAATTAAGATAATTAAGAAAGGAATTTTAGTATTCATTTGAAGAATCACAGTATTAAAAATAAGATGTATCTCAATATATATATTTATTGACTTCTTTACCTTCTTTCATTATCTTTCTAGTTTTTAAAGAAAGGAAATTTTAGTTAAAATACTAGCCTGGCATTTTTCTTATTCCCCACTTTTTTTTCTCATGGAGAATTATTAGGTTATGAAACTAGAAATTTTATTTCTCTTCCAGAAATTCTTTTGGTAGATTTGTGTAAGAAGGAGAACAACAATTGGCGTGATATTGCAGGCTGAAGCCTACCATTTATTTATTATTAAGACCAGCTCTTTATTTCAAAATATTAAATTAATAATACTCCTATTCAATTATTACACTTAAGTAAATTGAGACAATTTGTGATTTATTTTGGCATTCTCATAAGGTGGATAAAAGGAGAAGCTACTTAGGGAACTGTGCCTTCTGGGAAATTGTTCTCACATTCCTAGTCTTCCTGTATGATTGTTACTCACTATGTCCCTTTTGGAAGTGCTCTTTCTAAGTAAAAGATGAGATGGAGTGGTGGTGGTAGTGTGGCTGTTAACATCAACCTAGAGAAAAACAGAAGTATCTTAACTGGATTGAAATGTTCCTCGGTTTTATAGAATTCTTTAAGTCTCATTCCAGTGCTGATGCTAAAATACCCCCCAAACCTTGCGTTTCTGTTGCTGATCATTTTGTAGCCATAAAAGATTATTTGTCTCAGCACAGTAGAATTAAAACATAATTTATGGATTTCTTTAAAACCAAAATCTGAAAGCATGAATTGCAGTGGAAAGAATTTTGAAATTCATTCCTAGCAGAATCTGTATTTAATTAAGATACATGGTCCTGAGAATTAATTTTCAGGTCAAGTTCTTTGTCTATATGTTGTTGATGAAGATATTTACTTGCAGCTAAGTAACAGCTTAGAATTCTAAAATAGGGAGCCCATAACCTTCAACCCTTCATTCCTGATAACCCTCCCAGCTCTATTTTATCACTCAGTTCCAGCAATTACCCCCCAGAGCATGCGCTACCACTACCCTATAGAGCAGTGGCTCTCTCTCAAAGCAGTGGCTATCTCGCACAGCAACGGAGAGTAGCACTTTGTGAATTTCCAGGGTCTTATTTTATACCTTCTATTTAATTTTATGCCGAACAGAGGGAGAATTACTCATAGGATATCTGGGAGAGGGGTGGGAAATGCTTAGAACTGAGAGTTCCTCCTCTTTTTAAACCATATAGGGTGACTTCTGGAAGTTGCCATTGCATTTGTAAACTATCATGGGGCTGGCTGGGGGGAGTTTCTAATACATTATAAACAGGGTATAATGGGCAGTGAGGGTAACCTGAGGTTATTTTTTGTGGTCTTCCTGGTTCTAGCTGATTTGGGCCGGTTTCTCCATTGTCTCCTGTTTTATCTGAGACCTTGGGTTGGGTGTTATGACTCCTTGTTGAGCAAGGCCTGCTGGTTCCCTGTCTTAGAACCATCCTTTCCAGGTTAACTGGGAGAGAAATCAGAACTGCTACAACCCAGTAGCTTCTGGCCCAAGTGGAAGAGCTGCCTAGCTGATCTGAAAGCTCCACTGGAGAGGCTAAACACTCCAGGAAGGTTCCGAAGTCTTCCTGGGCTGATTAATTCAGAGGTGTCAGTTTGGAAGGTACACTGGGCGGAAGGATACAAGGGTAAAAAAACATTGGATACAGCCATGTTGAATACTTCACATTAGAATTATAACTGTTTAATGTTTATGTTTTTATAAATTAGTGTTTTATTTGGTACTTAACGTCTGTAAATTTCCACATATGGAATATTTAATTTCATTGATTTTTAAACATAATTCTTAATACTTTTCAATTAAGATATCAGCATTAATACTTGTTTTACATGAAAGAAATACCAAGATACTAGTAGTATAATTTGCTTTAGTATTATAATTATTCCCTTGGATTTTTTATGTTTAATAACAGATTCAAAGACCATTTAAATTCTTCATTTGAAAGTTTTTAAATCTCAGAAAATTTTGAATCCATGTGTAAGAATTGCAGATATGAGTTTTTATTGGTGACACACTATTTTCAGCAATAATATGATGTAAAAATAGAGACATTTCTGAACATCCATTATCAGAAATTTTTGGATAACATGTTTTTTTAAAAAGCAACTACTTTCTCAGTCAGTGTTAAAACACCACCGTCTTGGCTGGGCACAGTGGCTAATACCTGTAATCCTAGCATTTTGGGAGGCTAACCTGGGAGGATAACTGGAGGCCAGGAGTTTGAAACCAGTATCATAGGGAGACTCTATCTCCACCAAAAAAATTTTTTAAAAATCTGCTGCGTATGGTGGTGCATGCCTGTAGTCCCAGCTACTCAGGAGGCTGAAGCAAAAGGATGGTTTGAACCCAGGAATTCAAAGCTACAGTAAGCTGTGATGATGCCACCACACTCTGGTCCAGGCAACACACTGAGACCCTGTCTCAAAAACAAAAAATCCACACTATCTTTACCTCGAAGGGAGTTAAAGGGAGGTAGAGTAAGTATGTCGGGGGCAGGGAGGAAAGGGTATTTGGTTTTTGGTTTTTAATATCTGCTATGTACCTATGTAGTATACTGTTGACAGCCACATGTTGACCTCTTCAACATGTGGCCAACAAATTCGGAATGGTTGAGGTCAACAAATTCGGAATGGTTGTCTTTTTAGTAGAAGAAAAATAGGTAACTCATATTTAAATTTGACAGTTCTTTAAGGTACTCTGCTACAGGATAACCAATGAATTTCTGTATGACACAAAAGATTTTTAGGGTCCCTGTCAATCTTGTTCCTTTTTTTTCGAGACAAAGTCTCTCTCTGTTGCCTTGGCTAGAGTGCAGTAGCATCATCATAGCTCACTGCAACCTCAAACTCCTGGGCTTAGGCGATCCTCCTGCCTCAGCCTCCTGAGTAGCTGGGATTACAGGAGTGTGCTATGATACCTGGATAACTTTTTTATTTTTGGTAGAGATGGGGTCTCGCTCTTGCTCAGGCTGGTCTCAAACTGCTGAGCTCAAGAAATCCTTCTAACCTTGGCCTCCCAGAGTGTTAGGATTACAGGTGGGAACCACCAACAAGTCTAGCCTTCAATCTCATTACTAAGTTTTGAAAGAAATTTTCATTTAAGATCTATATTTAAAGCTTTTTATCATATGATATATTACATGTACAGGAAAGTACATTATGTATGTACAATTTAAGAAATAATTGTAAAGCCAGTACCCATCCAACCAACACCAAGGTCAAGAAATAGCAGCACCCCAGAAATTCACTATGTGTCCTTCAGCAAACGCATCCCTTTTCCTCTCTAGAGGTGACCACTATCTTGACTTTTATTATAGCTTTATTGTCTGTATATCCCTAAATAGCAAATTCAGTTTTACCCGGTTTTATGCCTCACGAAGGGTGTAAACCTTCTTAAGAGTCATAGAATTGTTATTAAACTTCAGAGAAGCATATATAACTGGTTAGTAGAAGGGTGGAGACAGATTTATAAGCCAAAAATTTTTAAGGAATTTAAGGAGTGGAACCTAGAAAAGGTGTTAGGCAGTAATAAAGGTTTCTCTGTTTATAAGTATATTAAATGAAAATATGAGGTTCGACTCACATTTTTAAATATTTTATAAATTTTTCTTAATATTAAAAGCATTTTTTTCTGTGGCATGACCATAAATATTTATAAGGTAAGACAAGTATAACTTCTTTATTTTCAGTATTGTTCAGTTGAACTACATTTCAAATGAGAAGTAACATTGATAGGGAGAACCCATGTGAAACTGTGTTCAAAAGACGGAAGCCCAAGTTTCAAGTCTTTTTCTGAATATTGTTCTTTGTATAGTATTGTTTAATTTTAAGAGCGTTTTCAGAGACAACTAAAGTTCAGTTTAGAAATATAATTTATATTTTTACTCTCTCAAATGAAGCTTTAAGCATATGGTTCTAATAATTCAGTTAAAATATGCTGAGTTACATATTTATAAAGAGAATCTGTTTTGAAAAGATTCTGAAATATTTGTTTGAACAGGCACTCAGCATCTCGATGAAAACTGCTGGAAAAGAAAAACTTTCAGAGTCGTTCTGCCCTCAGAGTAGTCAAGCCAACTAAACTGGTACAGTTAACACTTCTGTAAGAAGCCAGGAGCCAAGAAGTTTAGCACTTCCTGACTGCTTTTCAGCAAGCAGGGCTTCAAACCAACTTAGTGGTTGATATTAATACCATTGAATTTTCAAAGTAAAAAACTAAAATAGAGTTTCTACATCTCTTTCTATCAGTATGATACTTATCAGTCTCTTTTAGTAATCTCTGACCAACTTCAGTCTCTGCCTTACATTGGCATTAAAGCTATAATTCTTTCTTGAATGTTATGGGGCGTCATTCTTGCAAAGCAAGAAGGCAATGCCCTATAGAGTGTGACCACAGGTATGATTAAACTGTCTCCCAGATACAAATATTTTTACATTGCTTTTAGCACTACTCAGTATCATAGTAGAGACTATGGTGTAAATTATATAGGACATAATATTTTGGGATGATTGGTAGTTATATCAGGCTACCAAGTTTATACATAGGAGTTGTTTATTCAGCTTCTCACCCATTCATATTCATTATATCCCCTTAAAGTTTATTGATACCACTTAATTCATTTAGTGGTAATATGCTTAGTGTCTTAGTTCCTTTTGTGCTGCTATAACAGAATACCTGAGACTGGGTAATTTATAAAGAATTTATAGTTCTAGGGGCTGGGAGGTCAAGGGGCCCACATCTGGTGAGGACCTTTTTGCTCGCCTTCTTATTGTGGAAGGCAGAAGGGCAAAAGAGCATGCAAGTGTAGAGGGGGGAATGAAGGGAACTGAACAGATCCTTTTACCAGGAACCATTCCTGTGATAACTAACCCACTCTTAGAATGATGGCATTGGTCCATTTATGAGATCAGTGTCCTCATGACCTAAGAACCACTTAGAGGTCCTACTTCTCAACACTGTTGCCTTGAGGATTAAGTTTCCAACACATGGCCTTTGGGAGACATATTCAAACTGTAGTACTTAGTATATATAATATATCTTGTTGATCTCAATCTACATATTTGCTCTAGTAAGTGTTCTACTTTCATATTCATTGGATTGCAGGTAGTACCTACTGTATTTAGGTGCTGTAGTATAGAGTAAATAAAAGATTCTGTATGCTAACTAGAAAGACAAGACTCAAATCTGTACTACCATTTCTCAGATATCACAGAATTAGTTAGAAAAATAGCAGAAAATAAATCTTCACTTACTTGGTTTTTCAATTGCCACCCACAAGATTAGGTTAACAGTGTCTCCAGAAATGATTACCATCGCTTAATAAATTTTAAGCTTCTTTCAGAATCAAAAGTGTAGAGGAGTTATTTGGATCTGTGTGTAATCTGAAATGACAAATTATATACAGTTCAGGCCACAGTGTCACTTATGACTTCAAGGGGTCTAAGAATCAGCAGAGGAATGCAGTCCTTTCATACATCTCTGCCTGGTCTTTCCATTTTGGGTAGTGTGTTATTGGAAGCTTAGAAAAAAAATTAAGGGAATTTCAGAAAGGAACAGAAAGGGTTGCTGACTGGAAAGGATGATTGAAAACCAAAATCTGCAGTTGATTAGGACATAGTCATGGAAAGGAAGCATACACATAAATAATAGGGTGTGTTACTAAAATCCACACACACACAAAAAATAGAATGAAGCAGAATATCTCTAGTGTCTTGATGATCCATTTGACACTACTTTGAATCAGTCTCCCAAGGGACATGGTTGAGATTCCTAATCCTTAACACATGAACCAAGAAATAAGAATTCTGTTTATCCTAGCAAGTAACTTTGGCCCATAGAGAGGGAGTAGAGATTCTTTAGTAGAGGATCATTTTAGTCCATGATTTCTCTGATTTAGTGCCAAAAGCTTTTTTGAGAGACTATTCAAAGCTGTCTAAATTTCATTGTTGGATACTGATAGCTGCTATATTTCTTTTTAATAACTGATTTAAGCTCTTTCTGTTATGTGTCTTCTGTTGCTAAATTTCTTAAGATTAAAAAAGGGTGTTTAAAGTAAAACTATTATGAGACAAAAGCTTTATTCTGTAAATAGGATAATACTTCTTTTGTGACATTTTTCTTTTCCCACCAAAAGTGAGAAGTGAATGCCTTGCCTTTGTGCATCCCATTTCTAATGGAGGACAAGAAGTTATTTTCTTCAAAGGCTGATTTCCACAATTTTTGGCTGAACGCTTTTTGTCAAGTGTATATTCCCTTCTCTAGGCCTTTCTATATAGAGCCTACAAACATCGTCAATGTGAATAATGTCATTCAGAGGGTTAGCGACCATGCCTCTGCCTTGAACAAGAGAATTCATTACTACAGCCGGCTCACCACTCCTGCAGACAAGGCACTGGTAAGAGGCAAAGTATTACTAATTGTCTAAAGTTAAATTGAAATGAATAGTGAGCAGCATAAGCCCGGGCAACTCCCAGTGATTGAACTTTTTGCTGGCCTTATTCTAAGAATAGCATCATGCAAAGTCAAAGATAGTATAATAATTAATACATGTCCTACATCTCAGGCTAGTTCATTCTTATCTAGCCTGGCATAGAGAGATTTGAAACAATCTCTCTGTGTAGAGATTGTTTTCGGATTAAATTCTGTTAATTCCCAATCCTAAAATCTCTGAGGAGGATAAATTACTTTTGAAGTGGCAGTTTAGGTCATTGATTAGTAACAGATAATAACAGGTTCTGGTTAGTCTGTTCAGTTTTTATGTTTGAAGGTACAAAGGAAAATGTTTTTTGGAACTTTCTATAAGAGTGGGAAACAGAACTGCAGACATATATAAATGTAATATTTTCTTATTTAGTATCATCCTTTTTATTGATTAAAGGCAGGAGTTAAAGGGCCAAATATTAAATGTTTTAGACTTTGCAGGACACATACAGTGGCATGCTGTTCTTCATTTTGTTTTATAATCATTAAAAATATAAAAACCATTCTTGGGGAAGAGGCTATATAATAATCAGGTTGAAGGCCAGATTTGACCCATGGGCCAGAGTTTGTTGACTCTTGATCTTCTAAAATCTGTATTATTATTTTAGAATAAAAAACATATAAGTAATTTGGTTGCTTATAAAAACTATCACATATGAGATATTCAGAAACTTACAAGCTTAAAGAAAAATGGGAATATTTTGGGGGGAAATATGATTTTTAAAATAGTATTAATAACAAGAAGAAAGGAACTAATATTCATTAGACATTTACTAAGGTTTGGTTATCACTTAAACATAGCTATCTCATTTAACCCTCACAATAGCCCTGAAATAAATATTAAGATCTCCTTTTATATGGCCAAAGTAGGGATTTCCAAAGTGTTCTGGGTGGCATAATTTTTCCCCAATTTTGGGGGGCTTTTCCTCTTAGTGTTTTACATCAGTAGTTGTGGTAGAGCCTTAAATTATCTAAGCTCTTTGAGGAATAAAATAGAGGTAATCCAGTAACTCTGAGTCTAGTTCAGACCTTCTAGAGGCTCTTCTCTTGGAAGCAAACTTCAGAGATACCAGGTGGGCAAGTCCAGACCTGAATGTATATTGTTTGCTTAGTAATTAAGTCAGCATTGTGCACCAACTTTAATGGTTTTTGTTAACTGACAGAGGTAACTCTAGTAAATCAAAACATATAAACAGTGATCTAAAATTAACAATGTGATATAACCATTTTTAATGAATATGTATATACTCATTTTTGAAAATCCCCAAATTATTTTTCCTAAAATATTTTTAAGAGAACAATATGAAACCACAGATATTTACAGAGTATTTACAGAGTTAAACCTTTTTATTCATAAACATTTTCCCGTATACCTTAACATTTTTATTCTGAAATAGGGAAAGAAAGAAAATTATTTGATTAGATCCTTGCTAATAAAAGGGTGGCCTGCACAGGCCAGCAGTATAGACATCACTGAGAGATTAGTAAAAATGCAGAATCTCAGGCCTCACTCCAGACTGAATCAAAATCTTCAGTAAGATCCCTGTGTGACTCATAGGAACATTCAAGTTTGAAAAGTGCTATTGTAGACCATTGCCAGCGTAGAATCCAACCCTCCAATTTTTCTGTATCTCCTGAGAATTTGCCACTTCTTTCGAGAGAGGGTCTGGCTCTGTCATTTGGGCTAGAGTGCAGTGATATCATCATAGCTCCCTGCAATCTCAAACTCCTGGGCTCAAGCAATCCTCCTGCCTCAGACGCCCAGGTAGTTGGGACTACAGGTGCACACCACCACGCCTGGCTGATTTTTCTATTTTTTGTAGAGCAAGGTCTATATTCCTCAGGCTGGTCTCAAACTCATAGTCTCAAGTGATCCTTCTGCCTCAGCCTCCCAGAGTGCTAGGATTATAAGCATGAGCCACTGTGCCTGGCCCCACTTCTTATCTTCTAATCTTGCCACATATAACTTTTAATTTTCACTTTTTCTGAATTTGCTTTGCTAGCTATAGCAAGTTTTCTCCTGCCTGCTATAGACATAGTTGTATCCTTATTCTTTTTACTCCATGGCAGGAGACAACAGAATTCAGGCCCAAGAGGATTGAGGGTAAAGAGAAGGCAGCAGACCCATTTTCATCTATGCCTTTGTGTCTCTAGGAAATAGTTGTTTCCAAAGCCACACCATGCATAATATTCAAGCACTTTTTGCCTATGAGACATCCTTAATCATATGCATAAAAAGAGAAGGACTTGACACTTTTACTTTCTTTTTTTCTTTAATTTTATTTCAAAATATTATAGGGGTACAAATGTTTTGGTTACAAAAATTGCTTTTGTACCATTTGACACTTTTTCTTTTTGTACCATTTCATCTGTCTTCTTACTGAGGCTAATGTTCTATCCCTTCCTTGTCTTCCACAACTAGTCCCTAGTATTATTATTATTATTTTTGTCATTCCTGAGACATGGTACATCACACAGTTGAACACTTAATTTTTATTCTGTCTTCTAGCTTTAGATAATTGCTTGATGTGTCCTCCAACATTAGAATCTGTATATCGGAACACTAAACCTAGCACAAAGTTAGAGACTATATCTTGAACACTAAACCTAGCACGAAGTTGTAGATTACATATTAGGTGCTAACTATAAAAGATTGTTGATTTATACCAGTCAGGTTTTATGTCTTTAAGGACTACCTATTCTCAAAGAATTACTCTTAGGGAGATGGGCAGAATTCCATTAGGAAGCTGTGTTTTTCCCTCCAAATTGAAAGATAGAGTAAGAAAGAAATATATGGGCATAGGGTGGGAGCTATGTGTATATGAAACATATGTATTTAATCATTCTCTCAGATGTTCAACCTGTCTCTATCGGTTCCTTTCGTTTTGCTTGTATACTTAAGTCTCTTCCATCTTTAAAAATCCTTGTTTTGACTTTTCCTTAAGCCATGTTAGCTCATTTTATTCTTATGCTACTAAAGCATTTTTAAAACTTATATATTATTCTTTTCTTTACTTCACATAGGAGTTCATTTACCACTTGGTTCTTGAAATTATCCTCACTTACGGCCAGAGTCTCTTCCATCTAGTTGTCCTTAATCTCAGTTTTCGGTGGCTCTTCTTCCTCCTTTCTCATGAAAATGAAGAGAAAAATATTTTGACAGTTGAAAATCTGGGAATTGATTCTGACATTTCTCTGTTTCTTTTTTACCAGATTGCCCCGGACCATGTAGTTCCAGCTCCTGAAGAGTGCTATGTTTATAGTCCATTGGGTTCTGCTTATAAACTTCAAAGTTACACTGAAGGATATGGTAAAAATACCAGTTTAGTAACCATGTGAGTAAAACTACTTTTTGAAGCATGATATAAACTGTGTGTGAATTACTGATTTAATTTTTGTCTCAGTTAAAATGTTTGAAGAGTCAAACTCCATATTTTTACCACTATTACTCTGTGTTTTCAGTTTTATGATTTGGAATACCATGATGGGAACATCTATACTAAGTATTCCCTGGGGCATAAAACAGGTAATATAATTTTTCAGCATACTTTTTACCTAAATTTTTTTCTCTTTATATTGTAATTTTTATATTAGAGGTTTTAATAAATCTATATAAAATTCATTAAAGAAAATTGATGAATTATATTTAGTTTTTTATGAGTTGTCATGTTTTTATTATGACTATTTAGAGTAACATGGTTGCATATGAATTTATGCTTACATGATGATAAATGTTGTTCTATATTTTTATTTTTAAACAGGCTGGATTTACTACTGGAATGTGTGTCATCTTACTGATGGGCCTTTTGACACTTTATTGCTGCTACAGGGTAGTGAAATCACGGACTATGATACGTAAGAATTGGACACAGTAAAAATAGATTGTGGGTATTAATAAGCATTTCCCCTTTGAGGCAGATCACTAATGTATATATTTCACATGTGTGTCAACTGTCTACTTTGCACCTAAAGATTTCTCTAATTCACAGTTTTCAGCTGAACTATCTGCTACTGCTTTAGTGGCTGCCTTTGAAATTCAAAGAGGCTGGGAGTTACTTGCAGAATACATTCACTCTGGTGCTACTTTCTTCATAAGAATAACTCACAAATGCCAAAATATTAAGTAATGTTTTCTGTCCCTTACTGATGGGTTTGTCTAGCCTTGGTTTATCACTTGCTGTTATTAATTATAAAATGTTACAATGTTACAATCTGTTTCTCAGATTATCTGTTTTATTTCATTGATCTACATTTCTTTTTTATGTGTTTTTTCTATAATGTTTTAATTGCTATTATTGCATAATGTATTCTAATATCATCTGGTGAATGCCCATAGTCTTTTGCTAAGTGTTTTGAGTTAATTTGGAAACAAACTGTGAATATGGAATAGATGATTGACATCTAGTTTTATTCTTTTTATTTCTTTTATTTTTATCTAGCTTCGTTGGATACGACTACATGGGAATATCCAGATGTCTGCAGACATTATTTTGGCTCCTTTGGGCAGTGGTCAAGTCTCCTTTTCTCTTTGGTATCTCTCATTGGAGCAATGATAGTTTATTGGGTGCTTATGTCTAATTTTCTTTTTAATACTGGAAAGTTTATTTTTAGTAAGTATCCATGTCATATGCTTTAACGTAGTTCCTTTCAAATACAATCACTACTGTAATGTTTTATTTCCAGCCTCAAATTCTATGACTTGGGATAAATAAAGTAAAAAGTAATGTATGTAATTTTGGAAAATATATTTTATTCAGTTGGTTTTCTATGGGTGTGATCTCAGATATAATATGTGTATAATATTCATTTCTAAATACTAATTTTTGAATGAATAATAGTACTTCAAAATATTAATGTAAAATATTTCTATAAGCCAGCAGATTTGTTAAGCATTGTTTTAATCTTTACCACAAAATTTTAGTGTAACAGAAAAGTTTATGAGGTCATTGGCGTTTGTTGCTGAAGAGTTTCACATGTAGACAGGGGAAACAAATTTCATTACCGTATTTTCAACACATTAGCATTGAAGATTAGGAATAAGACTCAAGTGTTGTTTTTTGGTTTTGGGTTTTTTTTTCTTTTTTCTGTAATGCTTTAATTGCTATTATTGTGTAATGTGTTCTAATATCAGCTGGTGAATGTCCATATTCTTTCGCTAAGTATTTTGAGTTAATTTGGGAAACAAATTGTGAATGTGGAATATATGATTGACATCTAGTTTTGGGGACTTTGGGAGGCTGAGGTAAGAGAATCACTTGAGACCAAGAGTGCAAGACCAGCCCAGGCAACATAGTGAGACTCTTGTCACTACAAAAAGCTTTAAAAAAAAAAAAAAAAAAGGGGGGCATGGTAGCACATACCTGTCGTCTTAGGTACTTGGGAGACTGAGGCAAGAGGATTGCTTAAGCTCAGGAATTCCAGGCTGCAGTGAACTATGATCATGGTGAGACCCTGTCTCAAAAAAAAAAAAAAAAAAAAAAAAGATTTTTATAAATAAAAGACCTTAGAGGATGATAGATTTACAATCTTTCATATGGTGTTAAATTGTATTTTTTTCTTAATTTTTAGATTTTTTTCATCACATTAATGACACAGACACTGTGCTGAGTACCAATAATAGCAACCCTGGTAAGTAGTTTGGAATTTCATTTGTTTCTTTATTCCCCACTTTGCTCCAAAAAGGATTTAAGGAAGTGACCTAGGCAACATTTAATTCATATTATACAACTCACAATTTTAACTGTAGTATCCATAAGTGCCTTTGAATAATCAATGAATATTTTGAAGGACCTGTGTCACTGCTAATTATACTAGATGTCTAGAAGTTCTCAGTTTGTTAACTTAGTTTTAGAAATTTATTGTTTTAGTTACTAATATGTAGGATATACAAATTTGCAACCTATAAGATAATTAATTTCCTAATGAACAGAGGTTAGTAAGTAAATATGGCAAAATAAATTGAAGCTTTGCCTCTAAGAAAAATCTAATTTCTTAGAAAAGTATCCTTTAATATATTTGCTAAAAATAAACCCTTGTGGCTTATTCATTTAATCTAATATGGCAGTCATAGGGAAAGTGAATATAAAACTTAATGTAACCTTGTTAACAGTTATACTGTAACCTTGAACAGACCTAAAGCTTTTATGTATTTGAGTTTTAGGGCTACTAAATTGATGTCTCTGATGATAGAGGTATATGTTGATCACTAAAAGGACAATTCATTTAACACATTTATTAAACCTATTATGTGTCAGGAACTGTTCCAGGTTTTGGGGATATAATAATGAACAGATAAAAGTCCCTCCTGCCATGAAGTATACATTCCAATGTTTGCTATTCAGTGTCTTATCTTGCCCCTTAATTAAACCTGTCTTTTGTTAACACTAGAAAATGAGTGAGTGAAATACTAGCTTTTATTTCTGTAGATACACACACACACACACACACACACACACACACCTTTGAATTATTATGCTAAAATCTCTTGCATCCTGTCCTTTACCTTATAATTTTCAAAGGATCAAATAACATCCTTGTCTTAAAAGAGAAAATTATTTTACTTTAGCTAGTCTGATATTAATTGATGAAACTAGTTTACTAATATCTAATAGGATTTCTCCTCCAATAGGAAGTCAGTTTATCATTAAGGTCATAAATATCACAATTACATTTAGATGATTTGGAGAGTACCATCAGCAAAGTCAGTTTACTTTGCATAGCCTTATGTTGATTCTAGCACTTCTTGATTTCTCTGCTAATGTTTATTTTGAACAGTGTGATAAGTAGATTATGAAGCAATCCATTTCAATTGATGTAAAAAATTACAACTAACATTTATTGAATACTTTACTGTGCGCAGGCATCGTACTAAGTGTTTTACAGCAACCTTAGTTAGATACTGTTAACTCCATTTTCTAGATGAAGAATGCAACGTACAGAGAAGCCCAAAGACAACTATTAAGTGGCAGAGTTGGAATTTATTATGTAATTTACTTCCATAGCCTGTTAGCATGAGAAAATTTATGTCCATAGCCTAGAAAAAAAGGTACATGTTAAAATACTAAGAAAGAAGGAAAATGAAATGTTTGTGTTTGTGGCATGCCAAATAATGGATAGAGAATAAAATTAAAAATAGAACTGTCAACGAATATCCTTTCTCTTTGACAAGTGATGAAGATGATGGTTGCATAATGTAAGTATCTTTTACCATCATTAAGAGTTCTTGGCCGGGTGTGGTGGCTTTACGCCTGTAATCCTAGCACTCTGGGAGGCTGAGGTGGGCAGATCACTCAAGGTCAGGAGTTCAAAACCAGCCTGAGCGAGAGCAAGACCCCGTCTCTACTAAAAACAGAAAGAAATTAATTGACCAACTGAAAATGTATAGAAAATATTAGCCGGGCATGGTGGTGCATGCCTGTAGTCCCAGCTACTCGGGAGGCAGAAGCAGAAGGATTGCTTGAGCCCAGGAGTTTGAGGTTGCTGTGAGCTAGGCTGACGGCATGGCACTGTAACCCAGGCAACAGAGTGAGACTCTGTCTCAAAAAAAAAAAAGAAAAAGAAAAATGCATTTTGCTGATATTCCAGTTGTTTGGGTATCATCTGGGTTCTTAGGCTTCTATCTAGTGTGATCAACTTCCAGAATTATTTTGGATTGTTGAAATTTAAGATTCTTAAGCCTTCATCAGTAATTATGATACCGTGGCAGCTGTTTCAATGATGTCTGCTTTTTATTCTAAACCCATATATTTTGTTTATTGTTAAAAGAAATCTGCTCTTTGGCCTTTGAATGGGTTATTAGTGTAATAAACTGGTGCTCTGAATGCTATTTCTTATTATATAAATAAGACCAAATAGCATCCAGCCCAATATTTTCTCTCTGGCAATGGAACCAAGGGATGTTTTGGGATATTTTTATAGCTTCCTGTAGAGTTTAAAAATGATACCTCAAATTTTTTAAAGATTCTCTCACCTTTAATTATTCATTTTTAGGTGAAAGATTCCTAATATACCTATATATAACCCTTTGTTTTTGCCAGAAAGACACTTTAGTGCTCATGGTAAAGTTGAGATTGGTAGAGCAAGCATCAGTCTCTGAGGGCAGTCATTTTCTATATTTTGTGGTCTTCTCTAATCTGGTGCTCTCCTATTGCAGTGATTTGTCCAAGTGCCGGAAGTGGTGGCCATCCTGACAACAGCGCTATGATTTTCTACGCTGATGGCACGGATATCCAACTGTTTGAAAAGTGGTGGAATAAGTCCAAGACAGTGCCCCTTTACCTTATAGGACTCCTCTTGCCACTGCTCAATTTCAAATCTCCTTCATTTTTTTCAAAATTTAATATCCTAGGTAAGCCACAGCATTGAGTTATGGAGCCTTTATGTGGTAGAATACATGGTAAATTCTGTGGAGATATGATCTGACTGGGAATAGAATTACCTTCCAGGCCTGTTCATCTGTGTTTCATGGTTCATTCATATGGTCTCCTGCTTTTTGCTATTTTTTGTTTTTTATGGAATTTGGCACAGAGAAAAATGTATATGGCTATTTCAAGTCCCTTTTTTGTTTTTATTTTATGAGACCTGAGTTGTCTGGTTTCCCATTCTAACCTTATAGAACAACTCTTTCACATTTCCTCTGAGGATACAACTAGAGGAAATAAACTACAATTTCAGGAGAAGAGATCCAAATTGGCTATTATAGGAATTCTCAATTCTAAGGATTGGAAACATTAGAACTTACTAAGGGAGGTTATAGCATATTTTTTCCCTTAGTCTCTATTTCAGAGTATGAGACAGAATTATCATCTGACTTTGAACCTGGGTGATCATTCTCTAACTCAGGCTTCTTAGGTTTATTCTGCTTTTGCTCTCTTCCTCAGTGCTTATTCTTTAGAACACTTTTTTGCCTTCTTAAAGGAACAGACCTCTTTCTATGAGCTCCGTTTTTCAGAAATCATTAACGGAGTGTTTGAACCCTATTTAAGATGACAAACGGAACCCCAGTGAAAGCTCAGCTCTAGTAGGAAGGATATCATTCATAAGGAATTGATAATTCCAAATAGACCATAGAATTTCACCTCCTACTTGATCTGATCTTCTGGTAGGCAGCTTAAAGTACAAAATAATTAAATTATCCCTCAGAGGTGGTTTCCAGAAGACCAAGGACAAAGTAAAGGTATTTTTCTATGCCTCTCTGCCTCACAACAGGATTCACTATAAGTGGCCATAAACACACAGAAACTGAAGAGTTGTGGTTATATAAGCTTCAGCCTCTTGTTTTCATCCTTTCTGAATTAGCTAATCTCCAAACCCACAGTAGAACTTGTGTAGCTCATTTGTGGTTTCCTGATTTGCTTGCCAACTTTCCTATGGAATGAATCTTCTAAAAGAATACAAGCTTTATTGAAGGATTTGCTCAGTTAGACAAAACAATCACCAGACTTCCAACCAGATTGATTATTCTCTAACTCCTTAAGGATATTCTGCCTTCCTTCTTTTCCTTGGTACTTTCCCTTTCTTTTAAAACCACAGCTCCTTTAAAGGAATTAGCATCCAATGAATTTCCTGAGTTTTCTGACTCTACTCCATAATGACTGGACTTAATTCCTTAAGAGGAATAATCATCTACCTTCTACATTACTAAAAAATTCTGAATGCCCACTTTATCCTGTGGGCCCACATACCTGAAAATGGAACCTGGAATCTTTCCATCTAGCAAGTAGTACTACCCAGTTAAAACCTCATCTATATATTAGATTGTTCATGTATTATTTGGTTTATCACCTTTCTCAAATATGCTTATGATGAGCTTAAGATGCACATTACTTTTCTTTCTTTCTTTCTTTCTTTTTTTTTTGAGACAGGGTCTCACTATGTTGCTCAGACTGGTCTCAAGGTCCTGGCCTCAAGCCATAATCCCACCTTTGCCTCACAAAGTGCTGGGATTACAGGCATGAGCTACCGTGCCTGGCCTTTCTTTACTTTCTTATCATCTCACATTAAATACCATGACAGACTTTCAGCCTATTGACTGTCTCTAACACTTCTGATACAAAGAATAAAAGTTACTTTCATGGGTTTTTCTCTCCCTATGTAACCTTAAGATTTTGAAATGGACTCTGCTTATATTTTTCCATTAAACTCAGGTTATAAGTAAATAAAGCAGTCTTGCATTGAGCAGTGTATCAGGTACCTTCATCTAGTTCTTCTTAGGCCTATTATATAGTTTTTTGTTTTGTTTTCTGGTAACGCACATAGCTTATTTCTATTCTTTAGACCCTAGTTGGGATTTTAGTGGGGATCCTCAATGAAGGTAATTATTTTCCACACTTTGCTGAGAATGTAAGTCTACAAAAGTCTACAAAACATACAAAGATAATAAGTGGTTTCTGAATTTTTTTCTCACAGGCACAGTGTCAGTTCTCTATTTGATTTTCCTTGTCACCTGGAAGGCTGTTCGCTTGGGATTTCATTTGGAATTTCATTGGTTTGCACCAACAGAATTTTTTGTACCAGGTGAGCTGTTTTGGCAAAATAAAGAATTAATAAATTATAGTAATGTGGTCTTTAAGTTAATTATTATATGTTTTTCTAAAACAAATAATGGTGTTTTTTATGGTGAACATATTTATTAATGATATAAAGCTAAATATAAGACTACAATTGAGATTACTTTAGGTTTTTTGCAGTTTATTGGTAACTAGGGCCTTTTGTTATTTCTGCTTGAAGTTGAAGTGCATTTGAGTTATAATGCAACTGAAAAATCAAGAACTCATTTGTCAGACTTTTCCGAGAAATGTACTCCTAGAATTTGAGACTTAGAACAAGGTCAGTAATGTATATAGATAACAGTGCTCATTAAAATAATTTTTCCCCTGATGATTTTTTTCTTTTTTTGAAGTATTAATGTTTTCCAGGCTAATTAAAATGGTGATTATTAAATGCTTATTCTCCTGCCCCCTTTTTTTTCATGGTTATAACTTTGCAATTTCTTCAGTTTCACCCAAATTTAGAATAGTTTGGACGTGATAAAAGTACCATGAAACACTGAATGAATAATGCTAAATGGAGAGACCATTAGAAAATGGAAATGACTACAATACTAGTATCTTGAAAACTAAGAATAAGAAAGTTGTCCAAAATACTGTTGGTGATTTAGAAAGACTGCTTTCTGGCTGGGTGCGGTGGCTCACACCTGTAATCCTAGCACTCTGGGAGGCTGAAGTGGGAGGATTGCTTGAGCTCAGGAGTTCGAGACCAGCCTGAACAAGAGCGCGGCCCCATGTATACTATAAATAGAAAGAAATTAGCCAAACAACTACAAAAAATATAGAAAATAATTAGCCTGGCACGGTAGTGTGTGCCTGTAGTCTCAGCTATTCGGAAGGCTGAGGCAGGAGGATTCCTTGAGCCCAGCAGTTTGAGGTTGCTGTGAGCTAGGCCGATGCACGGCACTCTAGCCCAGGCAAGAGAGTGAGAATCTGCCTCAAAAAAAAATTAATTAAAAAAGAAAGACTGCTTTCTTTTCATTCTTCAACTGTTGATTCGAGCAGTCCAGAATTCTATTCAGGAATGCCAGTATCTGGTGTTACTTTTTTCTTTTTTGAGATACAGTCACACTCTGTTGCCCCCGCTAGAGTGCAGTGGCATCATCATAGCTCACTGAAACCTCAATTTCCTGGGCGCAAGCTATCCTCCTGTGTTGAGTGCAGGCATGTGCCACCATGCCCACCTAATTTTTTCTATTTTTTAGTAGAAACATGGTTCTCACTCTTGTTCAGGCTGGTCTCAAACTCCTGACCTCAAGCAGTCTTCCCCCGTCAGCCTCCCAGAGTACTAGGATTACAGGCATGAGCCACCATGCCCAGACTGGTAATCAAAGATTACCTTTTGAAATCTATAATTGCATTTATCTATCACGGTTTTCGTTTCTTTTGTTACAACATTCCTGGGTTTTCCAGGTGTATGGAATTAGTAGTCATTGGAAGCTGCTGTTTGTATTACCATGGCTACTTGTTTTCAGAACATGTTTTGACTACTTAGCTTTGATTTAACATTTTTATTAGAAGCCCACAAAGACTTAAAAGTCAGTGTAAATTCAGAATAAAAGAAGTATTGGAGATTGAAATGCACTTTTCTTTTCTCCCAAGATTGTATTTAAAATTGGACACTGATGAAAAGGCAACTTTAAGCTAGTTCTTTCATTGATTGATAAATATAGTCTAGGATATTATTTTCTAAAATTAGGTCCACTGTGATTTACATAGTCTTAGTAATAAAGATTCTGCTAATGATGGGACATTAGTGATAGATACAAGGGAAAGGGATAGGGTAGTTATTTAAAAAACAGAAAATGAAAAAAATATTTAAATAGAAATTAAATTATTTATTTCACTGCTTCATTTCTAAATGTTATGCAAATTATCATGGGCCTTAAAAATATGTACATCTAATACGTATCAATTAAAAAGAAATATCATGAAGGGGTAATCATGAAGCTTGTGTTAATATTTATGGCACTGAAATCAATTACTATATTATGATTAAAGAATTTCTCAAGAGTGAACATATGTCAAAAATCTTTCTCAGTAAGGGCTAATTAAGAATCAGATCCAAGATCAAGGCAAATTAAAAAAAAAAAATCAGAGCACTTTGGAGGGTGTGAATCTTTACTGTCCTGTTGAGAATTCACATAGACTTGTAGTTCTCATTAAATCTTTGTTTATGTACTCTTGTTTCTAAAGCTTTGTTTTTCAATGTTGTAGATTCTATCACCCTTCCTCCCAGGAAAATGGAAAAATAATGAGAATATGCTTATGCATTGCATCCTATTCTTTCTTGCCTACTCAAGTAGTTTATTTTTGCAGTTTTCCCTTTTTTCCTAAATCATGTATCATTAAATTTTTCCTCTGCTAAACTATTCTTACTAGTATACAAATCTATCTCCCAATCTAAAAAAATGAAGATTCATGTGACCACCCCTGAATCCTCTCCAGTTATTGCCTTTCTTTAAAGAAAAACTCCTTGAAAGAGAAACTCTTTGAAAGACTTGTATATGCTCACTGTCTCCAACCTCTCCTTCCATTTTGCCTTGAATTCATTCCTGTCAGCCTTTTCCGCAGTCACTCCGCTATAACCAATTACTCTACCTTGCTAAATTTCATGAGCAGTTCTTACTACTTTTACTCAACCTGTCAGCAGGTGGGGCACATTTGGTCACTCCTTCCATCTTAAAATACTTTCTTTACTTGACTTCTAAAATCCCATTGTCTCTTTACTTTTCATTGTAACTATCTGCTCCCCAAATTTCTGACCTCTAAATGATGGAGTCATCCAGGGTTTGATACTAAAACCGCTTTTCTCTCTACCCTTATTCCCCAAGTAATATCATCTAGTCACTTGGCTTTATACATTGTCTGTATGGTGACTAGTCCCAATCTTATATCTCTAGCTCAGATTTGCCATTGAAATATATGCTTACATACCCACCTGCCCCATCTATGTCTACCCTTGGATATCTGTAGATATCTCAAACTTAAATTGACAAAAACCAAATTTGTTTCCTTTCTTGTCAACCGCATCCACCAACCTGTATAACCTACTCTTTTCTCAGGCCTATCTTAGAAAATAGTAGGTCAGTTTTGCAGTTGCTTAGGCCAAAAACTTTGAATCATCCCTGACTAGTCTCTTTCTTCACCCTCCACATCCTATCCATCTGCAAAGTATGTCTGCTGTACTTTAAAAAAAAATTGAGAATCTGACTACTTCTTACTATTTTGACTAAAAAGAACTATGTCAAGCTACTGATCTCTCACTTGTGTGGTGTTAGTAGCTTCTTAACAAGTCTTGCTATTTCCATTATCTCCCCAACATAATCTGTTCTATACCTAGATTTTTAAAACACAACCCCAAAAAGCCATTAATTGTTTCCCATCTCATTCAGAATAAAGGCAAGTCTTTATCATAGTCTATAAGCCCTATGTGATCTACTTCCTGGTATCCTCTGTGATTTCATCTACTACTTTCCCTCTCATTCAGTCCACTCCAGCCACACTGGCTTCTTTGCTCTTCCACAGAAATGCCAAGCTCACTCCTATGCCAGAATCTTTGCACTCATTGTTCCCTGTGCATGAAACACCCTTTTCTTTTCTCAGATATCTAAATGGTTAGTGTCATCAGAGAGGTCTTCCCTGGCTACCTCTACCCTTCCTTCTTGTGCCTTTTCTGTAGAGCACTTCCAAATCTTATATGCAAGTGTCCCTCGTTATCTAAATACATTAAATAAGTTAGAATATTGGAGGATACCACATTATTCTAATCTACTTGGTTCCCGAGTTTCAGAAAGTAGCAGAAATTAAGATAACAAAGTATTTATCCAGAAATGTTTCTAAATCTTTTTGGTTCTTGAATTTGGATAGTAAAAGTTCAAGTGGTAAGGAATATGTATATTTATTTATTTTTTTTACTTAGGTTAGGTTATCTGTCTCCCTTAACTAAAATAACAACTCTTGATGAGAAAAGGAAGGTTCTTTGTTTTTATTTTTTGTACTTCTATATTACTCATGTATCCCTCAAGATCTATAATGCTTCCTTATAGTGAGTGCTTAATAAATAATTATTGAATAAATAAATGTGTTTATATCTGCTCCTTCCTAAATCCCATTAAAACAACAGTAAAGAAATAAGTGTAAAAACCAAACACAAAATCTATTGGAGAAACAATAGCACACAAGAGGTAGCAACAGATTTTTAGAAGTTGGGAAACTGAAAGATGGTTGATAACTGACAGCAAGCAGAGAAGCTGAAATGTAAGTCCCTGTAGAGAGGGATTCCAACACAAAGGGTACTGATTTGAACTATGCAACTCTCGAAAGTTGCATATTCTCATTCAAGTGTTAGAGTACAACATTCCTCAGCATGTGGAGACTTTTGGGTAACTGTGAAAGCAAGGATGGATGGAATTGCTTATATGGGAGAAGAACATGAAAGTTTCTATCAGGAATAATTGGATATAACATCCTTTCCCTTCCCCTTCTCTACCTAGGAAGAAATGGAAGAAACTGAATCAGAGAGGCTCTGCACTTGGGTGGGAATAAGGCTGTGGTTTGAAAACAGGAATTAGGTGAAAGTATAGAGGCTGATTGGTGAGATTATACTCCTTTCTTCTACCCTTTCCCCCCACATCTCCTTTCTTTACCCCTTAGCTCCCAAAATACTGACAGCCAGATAAGATAATGGGGAATTCTCTTCTGGAGAAACTGATAAGCCCAAGATGAACAACCTAGAGTCTCTAATATTTGGGTTTTACCAAAGAAATGGCCACGTGCCTTGCTTGTATCAGACCATTTAGATGTCTATTAAGTATATTTCTTTTAGTGCTTCACTTTCAAATATAAACAGACAAAATCACTAGATATTTGAGGAAAGCTTTTACATGAAAATGAATTAGGGGGGGGAAAGGAGTTTAGAGGGAAAAGAAAGTAAGATGGAACAAAAGAAAACTTCAAAAAAGTTAT